GGAGGGGCCGGGCGGGGCGGCGTGCGCCCGGCTGCCATCCAGTGACGAAACACGGAGCCGACCAGCTTGGGTTCTTGTTACCAACGCGGGCCGGGAGGATCCCCTGGGAGCGTAGCGCAGCGCCGACATGACAAACACGCCGTGCATCGCCTCATCGCCCGCCCGAATTACCTCATCCATCCGTCCGTCCGGCCACAATGGCGGGGAGGAGGAGAGGAGGAGGGGAGGGGTAGCGAGGGGCCTTTCGATAAGACAAGGCGGGCAGCGTTGGGCAAGCCCGCCGTCCCTCCGCAGCATGTGTGTACGACCCCCCCGGAGTCAGACAGTCGGAACACAAAGCAAAACAACGCCCCGAGAGATGGAACCGCACCCCGGACGGGGTCCTCCTCCGGCCCCGCAGCCCTTCGGCAGCCTGGGGGTGCGGGCCGGGCCGGGCCGGGCGAGGAGGCGGCGGGGCTCACGCTCACCTCGAGGCTGGCGCAGGCTGGCACAGGCTGGCCGAGGCTGGTGCAGGCTGGCGCCGCGGCGCCCGGGCTGGGGCTGCGGCCGCTGGGGCTATAAGCGCTAAGGCCTGGTCGGGGTGCGCTCCGCGGTGTCCTGCCTACGCGGCCGCTAGTGTCACTGGCTGCCGCCCCAGGACCCGCCTCAGGACGAGCTCGCGGCGGCGCCCGGCTCTGCCAGGGCTCCGACGGGGGCGTAGCAAGGGTCGCATCTACCCCTCTCGCTCCCATATCCACCCTCTCCCTTCCTCTCTCTTTCTCTCTCGCCGGCTCCGCTACGCCGCTGTTCTCTGAGATCCCCCGCCCCGCCCCCGCCCCTACCTCTCCGCAAACTCTGCGTCACCGCGAGGGGCGCGAGCCAAAACAATCCCATTCTCCTTGTCCCAGTCCCACCCCGCCGGGATCACACTACACTCGCGAGGTGCGCGGCGAGGCGGCGGCTTCAGTCGAATCTGGGCTCTAGAGAGAGTCAGAGGCGCCCGACTCTCACATGAATGTATTCGAGGCAGCAAGCGACGACACGTGTCACGTTGCAATTTAAAAAGCAATCACATTTTTTGTCTATTTCTTTTTTGCCGACCAAGGACATCAGATGTCTCTTCCCGATACCCCCCCTGCCAATGAATAATCTGGGATGAGTTAACAATCTAACTCGGACCACCTGCGCCAGAGGTTGGGAGGCTGCGCCGGCGCTGGTCCACTGCCAACACCTCGCATCAGACGAGGCGCATAAATCGCGCATAGTAACTTTCTCTGATCGCAGCGCACCGCTCCCCGCTCACCCCGACCCCACCTGCCACCTGCCGCGACAGGGCCGTCATTGAGCCTAAGCCGCCCGCGCCGCCACCGCGCACCCCAGGCCACTACTGCACGACTCGGGAGGTGTTCGTTTTCCTACCTTGTTGTTTTTTGTTGAAGGCGCTTGAGAGAATTTACCGCCCGTAAACATGTCACCTCCGTGCTAGTTTGCTCCACGGGGCTCTTTAAAATCGAACTGACGGTCCGCGTTGAGCACGATCGCCTACCCCATGAGCCATCAGCACACAGGCGACATACAGGCATTAAACCTCTGCTGCCAACTTTGTTTCGCCGGCCTGGGTACATTTCTCATAGCGTTTCTTTTGTCTTTAACCCACTCGCGGTCCACCCCGGCCGCCGCGGCCCGGCGGCGGCGCGGCAGCACTATTCGCGGCGGACACGCTAATCCCGCATCCCGGCTGGCACGCACCGCGGCGAGCACCGTGGTGAGCACCATGTCGAGCACCGTGGTGAGCACCACGTCGAGCACCGTGGTGAGCACCGAGGCGAGCACCGTGGCGAGCACCG